CTATTCTAATCGCGAGGCTTATCGATTGTAGGCGAGGCTTGGCGGTTTATCGGTCTACTGATAGAGGTGTACAATTATCGAGGATTCTAAGGTTGAGGTGGCGTGGTAGTCATCGAGTGCTTCGTGGCCGAATATTGCAGTTAGTTGAAAGTTCTAATTGCGGTGTATTATCCACTTTGAGAACTCTAATTGCATTTCCCACAGGGTGGAACTTGCGAAGATTCTTTCCACTTCGATCACCGAAACATCGAGTGTCCCTTTCATCCAACTTTTCCAAAGTGTTATTGCTAATTATATGTATAATTGTCGAGGAACTTCGATTGCCTGATACTCCACTTTTCCGATCGAACTTTAAATTAAACTCGGCAAAATCGTACCACGATATTCGATCCGCTTCCACTCCAAATCGTTATCCTATAATACTATCGTTATCCTGATATTCGGGATCCGATCGTTATATTAAGATTCTTGGTGAATCTTTCGAATTATTACGAGCACGAATAAAGCTGCTAAAGGAACTGTGGCGTAGATGCGCGAACCGCAAGTTTTGATGAAACGCCTCTCTCCCTTCTAACGATGACTCGACAACTTAAGTTCTTGCGTCTCTCGCGGAATCGAGACACGTGCACGCGTTCCAACGACAAGGTTCGAAAGACGAACTCTCTGACACGCTTCTCTAACCTCTTTCTTTGATAGTTACTCCGCGACTTCGTTCTCTCCACGGATTACTCTTCAAGACGTAATCATACTTGGAGCAACTTGCTCCTTTCATTCCCGCCTACCCGACATCCATTCCGCGCCCTCTTTTGTTTGATTCAATACCAGCTACCGTGTACGCTTACCAGACACAACGTTCCGGCACGCCTCTAAAACGAGAATATTGTGCCTTGTGTATCGATATCCACTATCTTCTTTCCGGATATATCCGAATATATTTCGCTCATATATTCGAACGTGTTTGTCCTCCGTTTCACTTAAATTGACGTCTCAAGCAGGCATTTCTCCCCGTTTTTTTTTTTTTTCATTCATGAAAGATATCCGTCCGACTTTGCGATTTTTCCTACGAGAGGAAGACCCAATCGTATTTTTTTTATCAATTTTCTATCCAACAGTTTTATTGCTTTGGAACAAATTTCTGACGTTCGATAAAACTTACAAGGTGTGTGGAAGAAGTGTGTCAAGCTGAGAGATAACTGCATGGCGTTAGAGAATTTTTCAAACTGGGTTATCGGTTTTGAAAAATTTTAAATTTAAAGTTCGCGCGCGAGTAATAATCGTATTTCGAAGAAACGAAGCAACAAAGAGTATTGTTTTAATATCATGCTAATGTAACTTTTCAACTTTTTAATGTAATTAATACGTTATTGATCATTAATAATCATCTACGATTTAAAAAATCCATTACTACTAAATCCTCGAACAATTGATTGAATATAATCTCTAATATAATTACGAATAATCTGTTTGGCATCGTTTCAAATCTTTCAGCTACACATAAAATATTATAAGCACATCTTTTAAATATTCCATTAGATCATATAAATTAATGGATATCGTACTTTACATTTGACATGTTAAGCGCAGTTTAATGCGAACCGTCAGTTTTCCATATATAAATATAAATAAGTACGAAAAATATCGCGCATCGAATTGTCCACGTCGAATTCCATCGATCGAACGTCTGAATAAGAAATATCGTGTCGAATATTCGTACATGTTGGCGGTTCGAATATCATCTTCGACAAATTCGAGAGATTTTTAACATGTGTCCTGGACAATTGCCGAGTGCTCGAGTGCATGCGAGATTTGCATACCGACAAATCGACGTGTAGATTTTCTGATAACAGTTTCGCGTGTATTCGTACGAACTTGGATGGAAACTTTCGACTTTCGTTCCATCTACCACTCGGTATGACCCACTTTTAAACACGTTTCTATACGCGTTTCTAATACGAGTAATACGAGTAATGAGAGATTAAACAACTCGAGAGCGAAGTTGATGATCGTGCAGAAGCATTTTAATGATTGATCGATATAAATGACACACGAAACGTTAACTTTGATAGCTGTCGTTACGTGTGAGTGATTTTCAACCGGCGATGCTTATCAATAAATTTCTAATTTCGTTCGATCCACATTTTACACGAATTTAGAAATTACATAGATATATAACTCTTCTAATTATTATAGAACTCGATTTAATATCGTGTTAAACGACTGTAATAACGGATTGTGATAACGGATACATAGTTGAAACAATAATGTTATTAATTTTTAAATGATGTCAGATTTTTGCATATAAGATATGATGTCAAAGAGACAATTTCGTTTCATCTTCGACAAATTCGAGAGATTTTTAACATGTGTCCTGGACAATTGCCGAGTGCTCGAGTGCATGCGAGATTTGCATACCGACAAATCGACGTGTAGATTTTCTGATAACAGTTTCGCGTGTATTCGTACGAACTTGGATGGAAACTTTCGACTTTCGTTCCATCTACCACTCGGTATGACCCACTTTTAAACACGTTTCTATACGCGTTTCTAATACGAGTAATACGAGTAATGAGAGATTAAACAACTCGAGAGCGAAGTTGATGATCGTGCAGAAGCATTTTAATGATTGATCGATATAAATGACACACGAAACGTTAACTTTGATAGCTGTCGTTACGTGTGAGTGATTTTCAACCGGCGATGCTTATCAATAAATTTCTAATTTCGTTCGATCCACATTTTACACGAATTTAGAAATTACATAGATATATAACTCTTCTAATTATTATAGAACTCGATTTAATATCGTGTTAAACGACTGTAATAACGGATTGTGATAACGGATACATAGTTGAAACAATAATGTTATTAATTTTTAAATGATGTCAGATTTTTGCATATAAGATATGATGTCAAAGAGACAATTTCGTTTCCAAAAAAATCATCGCCCTTCGATACATATGTGTATTTTTACGAACCGGAAATTCATATTTGAGGGACGAAAACAATCCTAACATTGGAATATATTTCACGAAAAGAATTGTTTGGTTTAGGAGAATAGTCCAAATGTAACAATTACTTCTCAAACAAAAAATTAAACTATTTACACTTTGAAAAGAATTTATTTGTTTAAAAAGTTATTGTATTTGTTACTATTTATTTGTATTTCCTTGATTGCTTCTATAAAAAACAATGGAAAGAAATAGAAAATGACAAGAGTGGAAGCTTCGATTAATTTTTCAATAATCGTTCACCATTGTATGTAAAATTGATCATAGATTCGTCGCATAAACAAGATTCCATAAATCATATTTCGAAGAAAAAATCTATAATATTGGAGTAAAAACCGTTCACAAAACCCCTACTTTTCGATGCATTTACATCTCGAATACTCGAATAAATACTCAACAATCTGTAGAAAATTCAATACTGCACAGAATTCGACTCAATCTCGCATTTCTATCGCAAAAAATTTCAAACTAATAGATAATTTAAACTCTCCTCTCTCAAATTTAAATTTTTCCTCCGTAAAATGCATATACTCAATGCTTTCAACAAATCCAACATGAAAATAGTAACGATATCTGTGACTGATATCAAAGTTTAAACGTTGATTTCGAATGTTCTTGCTTTCCTTATTCCTCTTCCTTTATCGGAGGAACGGTATCGAAATTCTTCACGTCGAAAAGTTCACGGTGCAAGTAATTAAGATCTTACAGGCGCGTAATGGCCGCATAAATCGGCCGGTCGTAACTTGTAATCCACTTTCGAGTTTCGCGAGGGAACATCGCGCCGGCATTGCCGCCTATGCCGCGTAAATTTCCCCGCCGGTTTATGCAAATTATTGATGGAACCCAGGGCTAATACATTGTTGCGCGTCCAACCAGAATCGCCTACGCTCAAACGCATATACAATCGTAACAAAAGTTTTCATACGTTATCTTACAAGAGAATTTAGATAATCCGAAAATTCTCATTTCAAGGAACATTCCTTGTATATAGACAATAACATTATACGTGAAATAATGTTTCTTAGAAAATTTCTTTAAAAGATTGAAGCAAACTTAAAATTTCAGCGTTTCTTCATATTTTAAATATAATTTTATTGGAACGTATTCTCTATGATATTAATGTTTGACTAAAGAAATTTTCGTTAATTTTGATAACGTTCAGTTGAAATCGCGTAAGATGTACGAAATTTTTTGCTAACGATTATGTATACACAAGGAAAGTCTTGATGTCGAAACATTTTCTGAGAATTACGAAAGCTAGTCTTCTTTCTGTTCCACCTAAATACGCCATAACGATATGATAAATAAACATCGTTACGTCGCGAAATGAAATTTATTTTTGATTTAAAAATACGCCGGAGGCAATGACGACTTAAAATGGGACTTGTATGTATAGGTTATGATTTCGAGAACGATGATAAATGGAAATATTAGGCGATATAATGCGTCATTAAAAACTATTATGAAATATGATTTGCCTTTTTTTTTTAGAAACGTGTAAAATATGATTAACCGATTATATGGTAAAATATTATGCCTGTTTTGACCGATTTCTTCTATATTTGAAACGCATTGTATACACATATATAAGAATAAAGAATGGAAAAATTTCTACGATAAAATCAGAAGTAAAGAACGGTACGATTGTAGAGATATATGGTTCAATACGCCTAGAAGATAGGTCCATATGGCATACAGACATGATTCTTAAATCCCTGAAGCGACAGAGCGAAATCAGTTTTACGCAGACGCGCCGAAACTTGAACGCGAACGAGTCTCTGAGGCCGAATCTATCACTGTCAACGGTCCGATTGCATTAGAGAGAATCGCGGAAGCGAACGATCAATTCCGAAATATTTTTATCATAAACGTATATCATAAAACGCGATCGAAATCACGTTCGACTAATCGGGCGTTTCTGCTAATTAACCTGCGCAATCAACGAGAAAGCGAATCCGCCACCGTGAATATGTATTATTGTCTAAGACTCACCTATAGAACGTCACGATGCCAGTAGCTCCGCTGTGCCAGCACTATACAACACACATACACACGAGAAGTACGGTCGCACGAAGCACGCGATCCACGAGACTCCAATGTCGAAGAATAGATCGAAGCTGGTACGTCTTCGATATTCTTGTTGATGCCTCCTGGAATGATTCGATTCCGATATATCAAACGCTTCTTTATCACGACACTGTGTGTTTCTTGGTTCCCGAATCACAGTTTCACGAATAATTATCACACGACACTGCTAAACAATCGAATACACAATCACCGAAAGGGCAGCTCTTCTACTTATACATATATACATATACGTACATATACATATGTATATCGATGACGGTGTCACGTTGTCGTTTTACAGCAACCGGATTGTTCACTATTCTCACGAGGAACTCTGTCGTTCGATCCAGCTGCAAACGGGAACAACGTTTCCGGTGAGAACAAAAGCTTCGAGCGAATCAAACGTCATCTTGTTGCAAAGATCTGTGCATCGTTCCGTCACGCTGTTGCCGATACGTGCGTGACGCGTCGTAACTTGTCGGTGTTGCGACTATACCGATATAAATAAGAAATATTTCGAGAAGTAACACTATAAATGCGCAAGACGAAAGATATATGAACACTACGACACACCGAAAAATCACGAATACGGAAACAAAGATTCCAGAACACGGTACACAACACGTAACGTCGCCTCGAAGCTCGCGAGACGGACTACGGTACGGGAATGAGAAGGTCTGTGAGCACTCGCGCATCGCGACATCAGCGCCACCATATCATCCCGGCGAGACGAAGCGCGCCACGGTCGATTCCGCGGTTTCCACCTACCGACCGAACTACGTTTATAGCGGTTTTTTCGATTGTTGTCCTCTTATTTTTGACAATTCTTTCCATCCCTTACTTTTCTTATTCTTTGTCGAATTTATTTCTTCATTTAAATTCTCTCTATCTTGATTAAAATCCTACGAAATGTAGTATTTATTTTTATTTTTGGTTATCGATAAGGATATTAATCTGACGTGTTTCCACATTAATGGCAGCGATTAAAAGTTTAAATTTACTTATTTGATATATTTAATGGAAATTCGTGTTATGAATAATAAGGATTTTTTTATTTATATGTAAGTTTCAAATCACAATAGTTTTTGTATTTGGTAAAAATCTGAAATTGATGCTTTAATGGAATTTACTTATTGACGTTTTCGTAAGAAAGTGAAATATTCAAAAAGAAATGCAAAATCCAATGTTGAATACTGAAACACTAGCGAAGGTGGGAATTGCGCCGCGCAGACTCCGTTAAAGGAGAGACAGCTAGTATCGATTCAGTTCTGCCAACGGAAGGATACTTTTTGGTAACTTTGTCATATAACTAGGAATTGTTGTACGAACCACCTACAGATTGAACTCTTTCGAACAAAATTCTATCGATCTCTCCTCGTAAATTGTTCGAGAGATATTGCATTTTGTTAAAAAAGAAGCTCGAAGTTAATATCGTTAATAATAGAGATGGATAATTTCAATTTAGATTTTGAGATTAGAGCTTTGAAGAATTTTTATGTTGAAAATATGCATTAATTTACAAAAAAAAAAGGTTTAAAAATATTTTCCAAAGTGTATTTGCAGGGAATTTGTAGCGTGAAGCATTTTTCGATACAAAGAATTATCAGGCGTTCGAAAATTAAGGTAGAAAGTTTTATTAGTCGAGAAGTTCGATGAATGAAAGTTTGTTGAAACTTTCTATAGAAGTTCCTTTAAATGCTCTTCCTTATCACGAATTCCTGTGTCGGTTGGAATTACGATGAATTCTCACATCGGAAGAAGACAGTCTTAATGTTTTCACATTCACTGTACTGTATTTCGTGCGATCACGATGCGTGAATTTACCGAAATTTTAAGGAAAGACAAATTTTAACGAAAGCAAGCAGATTTTAAAAAAGTATCCGGCGCAACTTTTTTATCATTTTTCTTTCGGCGGTTTTGTCGAATTCGTATTTAAAATTTCAAAGATGCAAGGAGGATATCAATTTTTCATCATTTCTTTTGCATCTTGGTTTTTCGTTTGCACGAGATATGAAACGAGATAGATGAAAGAGAAGTTTCCGTGCCTTACGGTTGTCTCTTAACTTATCGAACTTCTTCCTCTGCTGAAGTACGAGGCCAAAAGGGTACTTAATTTCCAAGATTTTAACCAGGAATTCGCAAGATTTAAAACCTTCGAATAATTAAAAATTTTCTTTCTAAATCTTTCGCATTGAATCAATAAAATGATCCGCGTGAATTTACCTTCTATCATCCTTCGATTACATTTCGAATGACGTTTCGTCCCCTGATTCAAACTTCTTAAAAGGTTATAGCTTCTCGTTCGTGCCACGTACAGGAAAGTCTTCGATGTGACCTATTTCGTTCCCACATGGGATTTCCAAGAAGACTCTTCGCATGTTTGCCACAAGTCGAAGAATCCTGTCTAATATAGAAGAGTTGTTGGGTGGCATGCGTGCGTCTTTCTCTCGAACGAAGATATACCGAGGACGGTGGCGGCACGAACACCACCGTGACACTTCGGTTAAAGTTATATCGGTTACACTGGCATTTCGAGTGCACACATCCATCCATTTCCATCGTGTTTCTTCTCGTTACTCGCTCGACCGAGAAATCGCCGTATTTTTTTATCAAAATTCTTTTCGAACAATTCTTCTCTCCATCCTTTCCCCGCCTTTTCGATCAAACAAACAAACGTATCAACAAGTTGACGCGAGAGTGCACGTATTCGTAACGACGGTGTACCAGATTTTGGAGAGGAAACTGGAGTCGTTTGCTCGCGCCACACCTGAGGATATCATTTTACGAAACACATACGGAAACACGTATCGGTTTCTTAAACTCATCTCGATAGTTATTCCCGAATTGTTGGAACGTCGCGTCGGGACATGCCGGTTTCCTTAACTTCCGATCGACGTCCCCTAGAGCACGATCCTCCCTAGAGATGCTCAACTTACTAGTTAGTTCTTGGTCATCTGCGAACACCTGTACCCGTCGTATTTTAATTAAACGTGTCATCTATACCTATGGGCCGATCGATAAGCGGCAATTGCTCGTCGGTAAGAGAAGATAATAAGCCCTTCCCTCCCTCCCAACTCTCTGTTGTCGCGCTCCTTTTGTCTTTCGCCGATGTTCGTTCGAACGTGCGCGGAAATAATAAATTAAACAACAAAATTCAACAGCGTCGTTTCGTAGAATCACAAATCACAATTCGTGTTCGTGTTGGGAAGTAACGCGATTTTCTAAAAAGCGATGAAACATCGTGTTACAATTTCGTGTTGGAATTAACGCGATCCACATCCAAAATTATAATATTCGTCGTAACGTATCATTTCGTTTAATCGTCCCTGTGTGAAGCTTTTATTAATATTTATGGAACATGATTAGGAACGTGTACAATACACGTCTCTGTCGAGGGAATAATTTCTTTCTCAATGACAGAGAAAGAAATAATGATTTTTCAAGAGCAAAGAAACAAATTCTTTTTTTTCTTTTTTCATTATTAATAACGTAAAGAAATAAATTCGTACAAAATTCGTTTCAAAAATGTTCATTATATTAATCAGATTTATCCTCGCGTAGTTATCAAAGTTCCCATTAGAAATTATCCGTAGATCACAGGTTTTACAGGGAATAAGGTGAAACGAAGTCGACGTTCCGGACGTCGAACGGCCGTGGTTTAACGAGAAAAATCCCGCGAGATGTGTTCGGGAAAGGTAAGTCGCGGTCATCGAGCTGCTTTTGCCGGATCAGTAAAGAGAACATGGAAGAAAGAAGAAGAAGAAGAAGAAGAAGAAGTATTGGTAGAAGTAGAAGTGGAAGAGTAGCAGCGAAGGCTACGATCACGAAGAAGAAAAGGAAGAAGAAGAAGAAGAAGAAGAAGAAGAAGTGCGCAAAGCTGACAAGGAAGACGAGGGACGAGAGAAGCTTTCGGCTACAGCCAGCCAGCCCACAATAATCCCCTCCCGGAAGATGAATCACCCTGTCGACCGTCTCTCAAGATACGTTGATGGCGAGATAGAAGCAACTGAAAGAAGGTGTCTGGCTTCAGAAACAGCTGCTGCTGCTACCTAACGTGGGGACTCTTTGTGTTGGAAACGCGAAATGTAGTGGGTGTAGCGTGGAACGATCTTCAAAGCCCCGGGAAGAAAATAAATGAAAACGCAGCGTGAGATTCAATTTAGGGGGAGGGGATGGACGCGAAACAAGATGTAGGGTAGCTGCTGGGTGAGGGCGAAAGGTAACGCTGCGAGAGAATCGTGGTTGACCAACTGTCAACCACTCGCCAAGTAATTCCGCGCCACTACCACCGACGTCAGCTTGAAAGCTCACGCGCCAACGTTCGTGTAATATAATCAAATGAAATTGCGCGCCACTCCCTTCTTTGAGCCTGCCTGGCCGGCTACATTGAGCTTTTTCGTCGGCTGTAAATAGTCCCGGAACGAGTACGCCATGTCCTGCCGTGGCTGGTTTTAGGGCGAAATTCTGGAACGCGAGAAAAGCATGGTTGATTTAGGAATTCGATAGAGTGGTTTCTAAGAAGGACAGCGTTGAAAGCTGTTATTTCTTCCTTCTAATTGTTCCTTCGTCTCCTCTGTTTATTTTACGTTTTTACGAAACGAATCCAACTTTTAAGTAATTGATTATCACTCTCTCTTATTTGCTTTAACATCACTATTCGAAATTATTGATCATTTCTTATGTAATGAGGCAAGAATTAACAAAGTTCTCGTTATTCTCTCGTCAATTTTTTACTTTTTCGATGCGAAGAACGATCCAACGAAATCGAAGATAGTCAGAATGGAATATTGTTCTTTGCTGTTTACGTAATTCTTCTTCTTTCTACGAGTTGTTCGTAGTATAGTCACTTGCGTAACAACTTTTAACACGTAATTAATGTATGAATGAACCAGCGTTACGGATATTTTATATTCATTATTTTCAAACGAGGCATAAATCACGCTTTCTTTGAAGAACGATATGACACACATGTCGGAGACATTTTCCACAAGCTTTCAAAAACATCGGAGAATCTCGCAAGAAAACTAATATCGCGCGAGCAAATGTGTGAAACCTCGGAGAAAATGGATTTGCTTGCAGCAACAGAGTGGAAGAGCAACCTTGCATCCGATCCTCGTATCCGTTGCCAAAGTGGAAATAGAATGAAACACGAGGATCGGCGCGAGCGAGCAAATAAAAATTTGTAACGAGCGATTACCAGGGGAAACAGAATGGAAGACCGGAAGAAACCAGAGTCGACGATTTAAATAGAGAATTTTCTTTATATCCGCGCAAAAAAGAATCGTAGCAAATTATTCGATAATTTCTTTTACGCATTCCTTTCGAAGATTGATGAAAGAATTTTGCAAATTTGCATTGAGATTTCTATCTTCGTCGTTCTTCTATTTATTTTATAATACCGAGTTCCGTTCCAAGGAGAGGACGAGAATTTCCAACAAATGTATTCTCCCTCCTCCAAGTAGTTAGAGATTCAAGAAATCTCCGGGAAATCGTGCAAATTTTCAATTTCTTCCGCTGTAAAAAAAACAGAGATTTTCATCGGTCGGAGAAAAGCCGTGGATCAAGGGGGGTGGTTGGCAAAAGGCGCCCCTCCCGATGAAATTCAAAGTTTACCAAGGGTCGGGATTACAGCTGGAGGAACATTAGCTCGGGATTCCCCGGCATCGGGGGACAGTGCC